TTAACCATGTTTAGATCAACTTACAGCTGTGAGACAGCTTTCTCTACGATGAACATTATTAAAACAAAGTACTGTTCCAGGCTTACCAATGAGCATCTCCACATGAGCATGAGAATGGCNTTGAAACAACTGACTCTGCTACTTTCTGGTTACAGATTGTGCCTGAAACCATTTTCCCTGGTCTAACCAAAGTAGCACTACACACCTTAACCATGTTTGGATCAACTTACAGCTGTGAGACAGCTTTCTCTACGATGAACATTATTAAAACAAAGTACTGTTCCAGGCTTACCAATGAGCATCTCCACATGAGCATGAGAATGGCACTAACCCTATTTAAGCCAAGATTCAAACTGCTGGCAGGAAAGTTACATGCCCATTTCTCTCACTAGGAAAGGAAGTTGGAAAGGGAGGAAGGAGAGGAGAGAGGAGAAAGGGAGCTGCTCAAAGCTCTGCACTTTTCTTTTATTCAGTAAATTCTGCCCTGTTCTATTTTATTTGAAATGTAGGCATTATGGTTCCTGTGTTATTTTATTTTAAATGTAGTTAATACATGTTTAAAAAAGGGGGTGGGCAGCTCAAAAGTCTTTTCTTTACATTTTTTCTTAAAGATGCACTTTTATTTTATTCAAAAGATTCTGAATGTTTTTACATTACCCTAAGTTCAGGCTGCTCAAAGCTGTGTTTGCACTTTTTATTTATTTTATTCAGAAGAAATTCAGTTACTTGAAGTGTAGTAAAGACAACTACAGTAATGTTTTCCATTCAAGTGCCATACAAGTTCAGACTTATCGGTATGTTTAAAGTATATTGAAAACACTTGAAATTTGACAATAAATGATATATAAAAGTACATATGTTGTTTTTTATTTACATTAACATTTCGAGTGACAATATAAGATTCGGACCTTTGCTGGGAGGAGATTTTTGTAACTGGACCTCTTTGAATTTTAATTGAATACCCCTGATGTAGGGGATATGAGGAAGAAAGAAAGGCTCTAAGAGAAGCATTAAAGAAGGCTAAGCTAACATTCAATGTTAGGAACCTACTTAGAGAAACATCAAGGAGAATGTTTATTCATCTAATCACATATCTCAAAAACACAGGGTTGATATTGGGTTTTTTTTGTTTTTTTTTAAATTATTTTCCTGCCAATCTAATGCTCCACACTCCAGTCCGGTAGGTTGCGGTAATGCATCGGAAAGCCAACCGCCAATAAAATCAAAAGAAGAAGAACATGAAGAAGAAGAAGAAGAATCGCATGAATCGCATGAATAAAGACCTTGTCGCCCTGTTATACACGTCTGTCTCCGTTGTTCCCAGAAACAGTCGAAGCTTGCTGCTGTGTCTCATATAGCACTGTCCAATTGTCTTCCTGTCAGTCTTCAGGACACAGCCCATATCTTCTTCCTAAGGCCGAGTGTCGATCGCCGGCTGCGACCATGTCGACCGCCGAGGACTTCCACTCTCAGGTCGCCTCCATCATGGAGGTGCTGGCTAACGCGGCTGTAGCAGAGATCTGTAAAGTTGTTGATAACGGATACTCGGTGGTTCATCTGGAAATGTCCCGGAGTCAGAAGGAGAACGAGTTCCTGCGGAGGAAGATCAAACTGCTTGAACTGCAGGTCGCCCGGTACCGAGCTGAGAGAGTGAAGGGAGCGGAGGGCTCCGTGAGCAGCCGCTTCCCCGGAGTTTGCCTCCTCAACCGGCAGAACAAGGACTCACTGGCCGGTATGTCCCCGACACCACTAACGTTATAGGCCCAATCCCGGTCTCCCCCAAATCCCCAAACTCTGAATCCTGAAAGACTTAATTGATATCACCTGGTGAGTGATTTTGAGCCCTTTCAGCCTCTTGCACTCAAAGGGCTCAAAATGGTATAAAGAGGAATGGGACAGCATTTAGATCACCCTGATGATGCCAAAACATTTGCATTCAATTGCTGGTTTGGTACTTTTGATTGTACATTTTTATTCCCTCCCTTCGCTCCCCGTTTGTAAACAGAAAAAAATAATGCTGGATCAGATCTGATCCACTTTGGATATTTGAAATTCATCATCATGTCATCATATGACAAATAACTCCACAAGTCAGTCTCTGAATCGCAATGAGCTCTGTGTTTATACTGTCTTATACTGTCTGTTTTCTTTTAATGCTAAGGTTAGTTCCTTTCATGCTTGTTTGTTAACCGGTCATCCATCCTATTTTATGGCCGTTGTTTGCAGTTTTTGGCACTTCTGGGCATCCCTTGATAACCATGGCAACTCCGTGTTTAATGTCACAGCACTATGAACTTCAGGTAATTTCCGCAGGCAAAGCCAATTTTCTCCTTCGTATGAAACGCCTTGTTGGGGGTCCAGACATTACTTCCTGATCCTATTGATGTCAATACTTCTCTTGGTGCTACCCAACTGCAAGCTTGACACCCCCCACACAAGGCACAGCACATAACTACTTATGGTGAAGAGTTTTTATTGGTTTTGTAGCCATGCCGAAAAGACAGTGCTCTTAATTTCCTGCAAAAATCTACTTCATTTTCCACTATTCTCCATTGCTCTAAACATTATAGTGTGAGCCCGCACTTCAAAGAGGACTGCTCAGAAACCACGCACAGTTAGACGTTTCATTTTCACAATGGTTATTTCTGTAATTCACACTTGATGTGGCCGAACAGGGAACTCCTCACAGCCTGTCGGTCTGCATTGTATTTTCAGTAACTATGCCCACTAACGTTAAATTCATTCAGATTTACCGGCAGCAGGTGAAGCGGTGGAGACTCCCTACCTGTCGACTGCCTGTCTGTTCCTCCATTATTTATATTCATTTAGTCTGGAAGTGTCCATACATTAAAAAAAAATCAAAAGGGTATCTTATAATATAAAATATTCCAAGTTATGAATATTGTCATACGAAGTTTGTTTACACAAGATGTGCGGAACGTGTAGTTGCCATGGTAGTTGCCGGCAAGCTGACCAATCAGAGCACACTGGGCTCCAGCTCCAGAGGGAGGAGGGGGGCCTTTAAGAGCCCTGAGCTCTAACAGAGCGTTTCAGACAGAGGATGAAGAGAGTACAGTATAAAATGTACAGCAGAAGAAAACTAATGTCTTTTCAGAACATTAAAGCATGTATGAATGAAATAATTAACACTTAAAGTAGCCATAATAGGTCCTCTTTAAACAAACACAGCCTCTCATGGGCTCCCCCAGCACTATGACTGCCTCCAAAACTGTTGGTGTCACTTTCAATAAAATGTGAAGAGTAACATACAGAGAAGAAGATGAAGTATCAGCGAATGTGACATGTCTTTATATTCCCATGTATGATCATTGTAACCCTGTTCACCTGTCACAGGAAGGGTTAAATGTCTCACTCAGATGTTCTGTTGTTTTGAACACTGCAGATATACTCTCTATGCTATCTGTTCTGTTTGCAGAGGATGTTCTCCTGTGTTTAGTTAGAGTAATTAGTGGCTAATTATTCTCCTCCTCATGTTCTACCAGGCCCCTCTGTGCATGGCAGGACCAGGTTTCTGAACCGAGGTCCAGGGTCTCAGCAGTGTGTTCAGAAGAGCCAGCCTATCAACCTGGACCAAGATCCTGACCAGGAGGTTGTCACCACCACCAAAACTGAGGTAGTTATTCCACAGTGCACTGACACCTTCATGTAGGCCAGCACATTTCACCAAGTAGCAGACTGCTTTCTTCCAAGCCATCTCAGCTAATACTACCTCAGTTTAATGTTTACAAAGTTAAGTCTGACCCACAGCCTTTTAGTGCATGTCATCCCCTCTTTCTTTCCCTATCTATCTCTCACTTTCAGAAAGCCCAGAAAAATAATTAAAAAAAATAAAAAATAAAACTTAAGGGAATACATTCCATCCATCCATCCATTTTCTGGCGCTTACCCAGGATTGATTGGCGGTGGCAGCAGGTCAAGCAGACTAGTCCAGATGTCCCTCTCCCTTTAACCCTGACCCTCTTCCTGAAGGATCCCATGGTGTTCCCACACCAGATGAGATATATAATCTCTCCACTGGGTTTACCCCGAGGCCTCCTACCAGGCCAGAATACCTCCAATGGGAGGCGCCCAGGAGGATCCTTACCACCAGAACCCCCTCAGCTGGCTCCTTTCAACATGAAGGAGCAGCGGCTCTGCTCCAAGCTCCCTTCGGATGTCAGAGCTCCTCACCCTGTCTCTAAGGCTGAGCCCTGACTTCCTGAAGAGGACACTCAGTTCAGCTGCTTGTATCAGTGATCTCATTCTTTGGTTCTCTACCAAGAGCTCATGACCACAGGTGAGGGTTGGTATGTAAATGAAAAGCTTTGCCTTTCGGCCCTTCTACCTCTGAGAACAACATCTGCTTTATTGCCGACGTTGCCCTGATCTCCCGCCCCATCCCACCCTCACCCGTCAACTTAAACTCCATCCAAACCCAGAGGTAGCTATCCACCATTTAACTTTGTGTATTGCTGTCACTTATTATTCCAGTAACAGGCCCACCTTATGGATGAAATTAGTTACAGAGAGTACCACAGAATGAGTCCTAAAACTTGGATTAGCCTGTTAGCACTTCCTGTTCCCTCATCCTCAAGTCTCTGTTTGTGGCCTGGCAAAGTGAAATGGGTACGATTCGCCTCTGGCTATATATGTTTTTAGGGATCGACCAATATGTTTTCAGGGTTGATACCGATTATCAATATTCAAGGAGACTGATAACAGATTTGGAACCAATATGCCAACATAAAACTACTGTTAAATGAGGACTATCACTGTGGCGTTCAGGTGTTTCTATTATTTTGTCCACCCCATTTATATCATTGAAGGAAGGCTAAATCACAGACACACCTCTGTTTAATGCAATACACACTATACCCTCCACAGTCATCAGCTGAATCAACAACTGTCTAAAACTATTTTAATGCAGACTGAACAGTATAATCTTCATGTAGGAGGATTTACAGCAGGACTGTTGTATTAGACTACATCAGTTTTAGCTACATGTTCCTAATACACTGAACACTGAGTGTGTATTAGTAATTATCAGTTGTATGCACAGACTGAAAAAAGCCTGACTGGAATTAATTGGTTGATTTCGGTGCTGTCCGCACCTGTGAACTGACTGACTGGTAACCTAAAGATGCTCTTTAATTTAATAGTTTTATCATATATTATTATCACCATATAACATGTTTTACTGTATGGTATTTACTATATGGCTATAGAGACCAAAACTGTTTTTTAACCAGGCTGTAAATATGTTTATTTCTTCTGTAAAGTTGGGCATTTTAGCATGGGAGTCTATGGGGATTGACTCACTGTTGGAGCCAGACTCTAGTGATCATTAGAGGAACGGTAGCATTTGGTTTCTCAGTGTTGATGCTTCATGTTTCAGTCTGGAGGTTGATGCTTGGTGATAACACCGACATCACACACTGCTGATGTTCAGAGGGTGTTTTTGTACTTCTGTGAGGGTCTGGTCCAAAAGTATTTTATTGGACCACCATCACTCTGGCCTCTGTTTCCAGCCTTGTAAACATGCCCGTCACTGGCTGAGTGACAGAATTACATCCAGATATACACTTTTCTTTGATTGACAGAAGAGTGTCAATTAAGTGTCAAGAGATGACAAACTGGGAGCTTTGTGTCTTTTTCACTCACGGTGAAGGACTTCGCAAAGGACATAACGTGTGTGTGTGTGTGTGTGTGTGTGTGTGTGTGTGTGTGTGTGTGTGTGTGTGTGTGTGTGTGTGTGTGTGTGTGTTGTGTGCATGAGGTGAACCATTGTGTGTGGTGAGTGTAAATGTGACGGCACAGTATCAGATATGAAACTGATTGGCCGATCAACTGAAAACCAACCTTTTCTGATCGCCTTCGTCATCTTCCTGTGTAAATGATGTCCTTGTACTTCTCGTCGGACTACGAAAGTGAAGCCTGTGAGACCACGAAGAGAAATCCGAAGTTACAAACCTGAGCTGTGGTATTTGATGCCGTCTTTGATTAGAACCACCCTGCCTGGTATACTCTAACATCTGGCTTGCATTATGGAGTTGCATCATGGGAAATGTAGGATCCAGTTTTTTGGAGCTAAACCCCAGACTAGGGACTAAAAAGCCTGGATAGACCATTTCCACCACTGTGGCTGATGTCCTTCAATAGGTCCACAGTGTCTTGCAGTAGGTGCACAGTAGTGCTGACCGATTAATCTTATTTTCATTGTCATTGCGATGCACGCAAGGCTTTCAAGGCGCAGCGCCTGAGCCAAATGAACCACAAAAAAACTACCTTGTTTTGGTGTCACGCTGCAGCTTCTCTCTCACACACACACACACACACACACACACACACACACACAGCACGGAGGTGGCGGTGGAGACCAGTTAGGAATGATCTTCATTAGTGGAGCTGACAACAACTATGGTCGTAGCCCTATGAGTGCCATCACAACCGTTGCAAGTAAAAAAGCAATCATTGTCCTACATCACTAATCAGCTAATAGTAAACTGTTAAAAACAAGCTAAAAGGAAAGTTTTCTGTGTGAAGACTGCAGCTTAATTTGACACAAACTTTTGTAAACTTATAACTACAGCTTGAGACAGCAGAATCCCCCCCCCTCGCAGCAGGGAAGAGGATGGAGGAGACTGCACACTTCAATATTTGTTTATGTATCGCAGGTCACATCATCATCACAGTATTGAACAGTTTCAGTGACCTTCAGTTGGTCCACAGTGTCCTTTAGTAGGTCCACAGTGTCCTTCAGCTGTGAGGGGATTACTGTCGACAGGAACAGTTAGTCCTCATTTTGAATCTCTTTGTCCTCTCAGTCAACAGAGCCTGAGGAGGAGAGGGAGCTAATGATCATCAAGGTGGAGGGAGCGGTGGAGACCACCATCACGAACCATGAGGCAACACTAGATGCCTGCATCGGCACTGAGGGAGATGCCAACACAGACACCTTCCTCCCTGCTGCCACGAAGGACGAAATGGAGGTCAGTGGATCTGACATCGTCACCTTTGTTGTCGGCAGCTCAGCCGACACTGATAGCAGCATTGACGGGACCCACAGCCCCAAGCAGGAAGGAAGTGATGTCAGAGCAGAGGACTGCCAGCCAGACGCTGACGTGACAGCACGCAGGGACGCTGTGCCAACTTCCTATGATGATATAACAGACGTCGGGGTTGAGGCTGCGCTACACTCCTCCAAGTCCCCCCGGTCAGAGGTGATAGTCATTGATGTAGGGGGGCCGTCAGACAGGGAGGGAGAGGAGTGTGAGTGGTTACATGTAGACCAGACAAATGGAGAAGCAGGCAGAGACAGACATGAACAAACTACATTACCCATGATTCAGTGTACTCGTCTGGAATCAGCAGGCCACAGGTCTACTCCTCCAGGAACATCTGGAATGACCCCCAGTGATGCACCCGGCCCGGCCCTGCACCTCCCAGCACCCCCCTCCACCCACAGCCACCACGGCTTCCACCGTGCCTTCTACCATGCCGTCACCATGGAGCGTCGGTACGGCTGCACCAGCTGCACCAAGCGCTTCTTCCTGGAGTTGGACCTGCAGAAGCACATGTCCCGGCACACCAGGGAAAAGCCCTACACCTGCCTGCTGTGTGGCAAGAGCTTCGTGTGCCAGAGCCAGCTGGACATCCACCACAACGTCCACACCGGAGAGAGGCCCTTCAGCTGCTCTGTCTGCAACCGGCGCTTCTCCCACCCCAGCAACCTCAAGAGGCATCAGAAGATCCAGCACTGAGACCCAGGACCAGCACTCCCTCGAGTGTCCCTGAAGAGGGCTAGACATGTTCTCTGTCCTGTGAGAAGCCTCAGAGCTTCTCAAGGCTACGTCATCACCCATATACTCACGGTTCAGTTCTTAGGTCTGAGTCCAGTCTGTGAGCAGCTGTTCCACCACCAACACTGAATGTAACAGAATGTAAATGCGGTGAATGGCTGCTGCTGAATTAATTAGTCCAGCTTTAATGAGACACAGTCTGTATGAAGATGACATGAAAAAGAAAAGACCATGAAATACTGTGAATGAGCTCGTTCCTCAGACTTTATACTGACAGCAGCCATCACCTCCTGTCACTCTCAAGTTTCATTCAGACCGTCCATGAGATTATGAATGTCCAGTACAACACTTCACACACAGCACATCAGGAATGAAAGAGGCATCCCAGCTTCTCTAGCTATGTCCACACCACTATACTTTTTTTTATTTTATAACAATGTTTTCAAACTAAAACAATCTCCGTCTAGACGAACACATCTGAACACTGAGCAAGTGTGAGCCGGTGTAAACAGAAAGTAGATTGTCTGCTGGTTGGTTAGTTTCACAAAACACTACGAACGAGGAACAAAGACAGTTATCGCGTTAAAATACAGAATTTAACTGAACAACATCTGCTAGTAAAAACAACAAGGTCAGTAACACATGTATTTCATTATCCATGTTGTATTCACCACTGGTAGTCGAGGCTGAACGTTGGTGTCTGCATCAGTGTTTCCAGAAGTCTCTGTTTTAGAAGTTCAGAAACTCTGGAGTCGTGTGGACAGGAGGAGGAAACGTTACAGAAGAGATGCATTTTAAAATGAAGACATAGTAGTGTGGATGAAGCCTCTGCCTGTCCACTGTTGGACGTGATAATCTCGTCTTCTAGAAACTGTCCTCAATTAAAGCAGGTTTGAAGTTCATTTCTTTAGTTTTAAACCAAAAAATTTACTGTCAGATTTATTGTTGGATTAAAAAACAAAAAACAAAAAACAAAGGTTAATTGTGGCTTTCAGCTACGCAAATAAATAATACATTACACACTTGTGATAAATGCAAAGCAACAAACAGATCTTTATTTTTCTGTCTGTGTACACTTTATAGAGGCTTTTATTTTGAAATATTTACCTTTACGCTTGTGTCACCTGTCTACTGTTCTCCATTCTACAATTCAACAAGGAAAAATGAAAAAAAAAGGAATTTACAAACACCAAAATTTAACCACTTCTTCTGATTTTATGTTCTTGTTTTGTGTTTTTTAATCTGACAATAAAAAAAGAAAAATGTCTGTTTTTCTGTTTTTTATGGTTTCTGTTTTTACTGTTTGTCTTTTGTTTTTAAACAAAAACGAAAAAAAACAGCTTGAATGACTTGCAGCCTGAGAGAGTCTCATCTTCCTCTCTAGCTCTGCTCTGCTGTGACGCTGCATCCTCTGATGTCACTGTGACATCATATCTGAGTGACGCTGTGAGTGACATGGATGTTACAGACACTTATCACCTGAATAAATCACTGACGTCAGCCGTGGTTTGTGATCCATGTTTTTCTGTTCCTTCTTAACTCACAACCTTTTCATGCATACTGATGTTTGTCTGTGGATTTTGTGTCTGTGGAGTTTTTTCAGCCGTTTGCCTCTCGCCTGTTCACTTCTGTTTTATACAAATAAACTAGAAATTAACTTTGGCTGAGGCAGAGATGATTTACAGACAGAAGGAGAAACACACTTGTTTTTATACATGGCTGTCACCATGGCGACAGTCAGAGGAATAAGGCTTCAGCTAACAGCTAACAGGATATTTCAGGAGAACCTTGAGGGAATTTCTTCAGATTTGGCTCAAACATTCACTTGGACTCGAGGATGAGCTGATTAGATTTTGGTGGTCAAAGTTCAAAGGTCAAAGTCACTGTGTGTCTCACCAACACGGTTTCGTCTGTAACTCAAGAATTCATTAATTCGTTAATTTCACTGTGGCAGCATAATGTTCTGCAGAAACATTGTGACCATATTTCTGGTGCAGGGATACAACCACAAGCCTGTGATTCTAGTTGGATATGTGCAAATATCGTAACGCCAACCTTTTAATGAGAGTTAATCAGAGTTTACCTGTAAACAGGATTATTAGTGGAATCAATCACTGTCATGAGCCATGTGAACAGCTCAGTGGGGATAAGAGCAAAAACCCGAATGTTTTGTGCATGTGTTTATTGAGTGTCATGATATTTGGATGTGTCTTGTGAAATCACCTGTCAGTCCTTAAGTACAGAGAGACCAGATAAAAAGAAACAGGAGAACATCAGTGTGAATGAGTCCCAGCTCAGACCTGGTTGTGGTCACAGTCCATCAGTGGCTTTAAAGAGAGTATTCAGTGCACCGAGAAAACCTTTCTAATTGTATAATTAATAAAGATTTGAAAAGGTTTTCTGCTCGTATGAACAGAGTACAATCACACATGTCTGACAGTATGTGACTCAGTGTTTCATATTGTGCGGGAACCTTTTGACATGGGTGAAGTGTCCTTGTTGTTGAAGCGTCACTGAAAGTGTGACTATGCCAATAAATCATATTTTCCAAGAATTTGATGTTTGTATGTTTCCATTATTGACTCCTGTCTGAAATGATACTGCTCAGCTAAATGCCTCCCTCTTTTTTCCAGGGCCAGGGACATCTGAAAAACCCGAGGATCCCTCAGAGCCAGGAGGAAAAGACTGATCAAGTTCAAGGTATCCGTCTGATTTTCTGTGGCATCCTTTCCTGTGCTGGAAGTGCCACTGAACTCACTATGTTCACTTAGTTTTTATCAAACAGGAGGAAACAGTGCAGGATTTGAGGACTATTTTCAGCTGCGGACTTTTCAACATTTGGTGTTGTAGTGAGTGTGTGTGGCAGCAGGACAGTGTGTGTGTTCACGGTGATGAAGGAACATGCCAGAGTCAGTGACACAGTGAGACTCACTGACACACACACACACACACCAGTTGCCAGCTGCTGCAGGTTGTCGTCTGTCAAACAGCTGCAGTGAATCACCACCTTCACTCTGGTTAAATTTGATCGTCTCATCAGCTTCAGTCATGTTAGATAACAGATTCATCTTTTTGCTGTTTGCAGCCTCTGAAATAGTTTCCTGTCTTTGTGACCTTTGAACCTTTGATCTGAAGATGTCTCCCTGGACAAACTGGGACAAAGACTTGTCTCTGTGTTCTGACATGTTATAGATGAAAGTGTTAATTGATCGATAATGAAGATGATGCTCACAGATGTTCAGCAGGGATGAACACAGCTTTAGTTCTGAAGCTTTGAGCTGACATGTTTTTACTGTGTGAAAAAGTTTTTTTTTAATCTAAGTGCGTCTCTTTGCTGTGGCTCATCAGGTGACCCTCCAGAGAAAGACAGACCCCCCCAGACCCTGCTGCACTGCTTGGAGAACAGTGAGTCCGAGGACATGGAGCCACCATCTTGTTCCACATTCACACCAGAGACTGTAGCAGGAAACTCCTTGTGCAGCCAAACGACCACAAATGCTGCTTCTGGCTTTCCCAGTTCCCAGTCATGGACCAGGTGAGCTGTGTATCTAAACGTGACATCCTTATCGACACACAGGAGGGTTCCGGGGGGTGCTGGCCTCTGGACCAGGTGGAGGTGACTTGGGCGGGAACAGTGGACTCCCAGCACCAGCAGACCCAACACTTGTGGTCTGGAATGGGGCAGGACCTTTATGAGTCTGGTCCAGGACAGCAGCAGCCCCTATGCCTACACCTTCTGCTCACGCCGCTACGCCCACCAGTGCCAGCTGCGCATCCACACGGGGGAGAAGCTGTACCAGTGCAACCAGTGCGGGAAGAGCTTCGGCCAGTTCTGCAGCCTCAAGCGCCACCAGATGGTCCACACGGGGGAGAGGCCGTTCCCTTGCCCCCACCTCCACCAACCTGAAGGTGCACCAGAGCGTCCACACCGGGGAGAAGACGTTTCGCTGTTCCATGTGTGGCAAGAACTTCTCCTTCCTCAGCAACCTGATCCGGCACCAGCCTCTGCACACTGCCATGTAACCCAAACCCTAAAACCCTAAACCAGGCATCACCAAATGGCGGACCGCGGTCCGGGCACG